GAACATTATTTTAAAAAAACTGAACATGTCACAGATACTTTACTCCCAAGATTAAAACCATGGAAAATCACCTAGCATCTTCAGTCTCTTGCCTGGAACACAGGCAGAGAATGCTTTTGCAGCCTGCAAAAGGACAGAGAGGCAAAGGTCATGATCTCACCCTTGTCTGCACCAGTGCACACACTTCATTCTTGGTAGGGATGCTTGTGCTGTCTCTCTGATTTACACTCCCCAGAAACTCCTGGAAGGAGTGGAGTCTCTGGAATCCTGTCTGAGCCAGCCCAAGCACTGTAAGGATTCCTAGAGCATGTAATCCAGGAATACCATCCCCTGCCATGCCTCCAAAAGCCATGGACAAGCTTTCTACAAGCAGATATTCACACTCTCTAAAAATAGAAATCCTTATGCCTGCAAGCACATCTCACTACCACGTATTAGTTTCTATCACTGGAAGTGTTGAGGAGCCTGCCAGGGTGACAAGGCACACTATGAACCAAACCTGAAATAGACAGAGAAGATAATGGAATTTTTTTTTAAAGGCAAAATGAGATATGTGTCCAGCAGTGAGAACTGAGTCTACCTAGATCACAAAAAAGCTCCACGTTCCCTGCTGCTCCCAAGGAAAAGCTGCACTCCAAGCAGATCCTGTGCTGTTAGCTGTTAGTTCCTCCAGGCAACTACTGCAGGGAAGTTAATTCTGTTTCCAAGTCACATCTTCAGGGCTCCTTTTGCACGTTTGCTGTCAGGCATCCAGCACATCAAGGCAAACATTTGGAATAAAGCCTTGGGTGCAAGCCACATTTGTTGCTAAATAAACAAAGCCAATGCTACAAAAAACAATCATGCTCCAAGGTATAAAGCAACAGGACTTTTTGGCCAAAGAAACCCCCACCTCCTCACTGTATCCCCCATCTGGGAAGATACCTGTGCAAGTGATCCCAATGCTGCCTGGAGCACTGATAAAGGCCCAAGGCTGGGAGTGGCCAGGAGAGGAGATAAGCCATTGGACTGACCTAGCAAATCACACCCTTTGTTCAGCTCGTTTCCTGGGGATTTGAAACAGCTCTTCCCATTCTCTCTAAACCCAGCTAAATAAAGAGTGATAGCTTTAGAGCTTTTCAAGTGGCAAGACCAGGAGGAAGGACAGGCCTATAGTAAGAGGCTTTAACGAGGACACTATCAGCTGACATAGGGACCTGTATATTGGCTTATTGAGCAGATTCCTCCCACAAACAGTGACAATAGCCTGGTCCCTCACATCCCACTCCAGTAAAGCTTTAGTACTTCCTGTATCCATGTTCCTGACTAATTAAAACAAAACAAAACCAACCCTACCACAACCAAAAAAAGCCAACACCATCCTGAAAAGGCCAACCTACAGCACAGGACTGGAGGGGGAAGAGATTAATTTTCAGTGCTGTAAGACCCTCAGGAGTCTTGTCTAGTCTCAAGTATCTGATAAGTATCTGACACCCAGGACAATGTCCGAGTACTGAAATTTCAGTACAATGCTGAAAAAAGGCAATAATAATGTTGCAGGTTGCATGGGACAAAGACTGTGCAATTAGAGAAGGGCAAAGAGCTGGCACAGAGCACTACAGTCCTGTCCATGGCACCTGTTCTTAGTGGTGTGCTACACCCAGTGCTGCTACTTGAGCATTCTGAAGGACTGGAAATGGCATAATTGAGCTGCAACACATTCACAGAGATATTATTTGCACTTTTTCTTCCAAATGTTCCCACACCCTCCATCTAAACTGAACAAACACCCACAAAAAGGTTTGTGGTTAGGGCAAAAGTAAAGCCATTATCAAATTTCTCTGAGACTGTCCTGGAAGTTTACATTGTGAGAGGATAATCACATTTTATGCATCTGATTATGAGCACCACACAACTCAAAGTAAACATGGCCAGCCTGATTTGGGACTATCCAGGACAGAAAATGTTCAACAACTGCAGGAAGAAATGTATTTAACACAGGGAGCATTGTAAAATGAACTCTAAATTTATCCGCTTATTTTCACAGTTCTTACTCACTGGAAACAACCCTTGTCTTTAGTTTGGTTCCTTTAAGTTCAGCTCTTGTCTGAATGTTTTGTGCTCAAATATAGCTGTACTGACAAAAATGGGTGCAATGTTCCATAATTCTCTACAGATGAATAAGGAATTCTCTCTCTATCATGCTTCTGAGAGTCCCTCTGTGCAATTCAACTGGTGTATCAAATATTTCCAGTTATCCTCTCACAGTCATAAAAGCAGAAAAGAAAATTAAGGGCAAAAATTTAAATACTACAGCTGGAATACAGAAAGCCGAAGTTATTAATAGATTTTGGACAAAAGATATAAAATGTGTTTTGTGAAAGTGTGAAAGAAATGAAGTCAGCTCTAGACCAAAAGGTGTGTGTTTTGGGATTTGATGGTGTTTTTGCCTTCTAGGACTCAAAAAAGACTTCTTACTTGGAAAGAGGTTTCACAACTTTAGGGCAGATCAGTCAAGCAGACAAATACATCCATGATGGCTACCAGAATATGTATCAGCAAATGCTGTCCAAGATTTCAAGACAAGTGGATTTGAGTCCCAACAGTGAGTGGCTGGTCTGTTCCCAATAAAACACAAACCTACCCCCTTTCAGATTTTGACCAGGAACACATTTTAATGAAGGAACACATTTTCTCAGTGGAGAAAAGGCTTCCCATTCACTGTATTTGCCTACTTTGAAAGGTCTGAAAAACCAATGAGCATCTCAACAATTATTCTAGGAAATAGGTATTTTCTCCAAGCACTTTTGTTGGTTTAAACAAAATCATTAATTTTGCTCAACATTGAGATTCAAGTAAACTAAAAACCTCAGAATTATTCTCAGGTCAAACCATGAGATCCAAAGAAAAAGGGCTAATTTCACATAGTTTGGTACTGAATCATGTGGTAAAGCTGGGCTCACACAGTAGTTTTTAGGACAACATGTTTACACAAAATTGGATAAACAAAATCTGTGAGGAATTCACCCACAAGTGCATTTTAAGAGTTTATTCTTGGCACAGATGGGGACAACTCCCATCAGCTTGAATAGAAAACTCACCTGTTTATGCTAGGACTGGCTTTGTTCTCCAGCACCTGCAAACATGAGGCAGAGGAGCAGCATCCTCACAGCAAACTGAAGGTTCCTACCTTTCTGAAGTCACTCTTTTTGATGAGGTGAACAGCAGTGGTCAACCAGGATGTGGGTTGCTGTGTTTTCAGGGATATTCACCAGCCATATTTAAGCAAAAAAAAGCACACTCCTTCTGTCCATCTTAAGGACTTGTTTGGGATTATAAAGACATATGGTATTTTTAGAGGCTGAAAGAAACTGACTCACACTCACCACTGCCAATTGAGAATAAGGCTCATTTACTGATGTAACCAATGTTCCACTTCAATCTGCTTTCCCATCAAACCTCAACATTTTATTTTAGCTGCAAAAAGGTTTATTAAAACCCTGTGGCTACATGATAATTCTCTCAACTGAGAAATGCAAGGCTCAAAAAACCCAAACCTATGCAGCTACACTCATTTTAAAAATCACCTTAAGTTGCATGGCATTCCACAGAGTTCATATTTTATTGTGGTGTTCAAATGAAAAAAAAAAAACAGTTGTTCCTCTGATTTATTTTTTTTTTACACACCCGAAATCAAGGAAGTAGGGGGTAATATCTCCAACTCTGTCACCAAACCCCCTTTGTGGATTCCTTTTGCAGTCCTTAACTGACAGAAAATAATGATTTGTATTTGTCTTACAACAGCACCTTTGCCCTCTTCCCCACAAGCTCAGGTTTTGTGTTATATGAGTTAGGCATAGCTGCTTGCCCACTCATTTTAGCAAGAGTTGGAAGTTTAAATCTTGGAACCTGAGCTGCATGGGGGGTTTAAAACTTGTTAGATGGAAGATTATATATATGTTGTATTTATCAGTTGGTTGCAAAGATACCTCTTACACATGAAGCAAGAATATCTTTGCAAGAAGATACCCAAGATAGGGTATTTTAATTTTCTCAGTGTTCTGCTCCCAGTGAAGCAGCTGAGTGAATGACACACCACTTTTCTCCTAGATGACAGCAAACAAAAAGCACAGGAAAATTTTATACTGTAGTGAATCACATGCATATTTTGACTGGTGGAAGCTCTGCCAGAGAATGGAAAGATTAATTTAGCTGGTTTATCCCTTCCTTCGACTTCCACACAGACTAGCACAGCGGCTGCTCACAAAGGCTGCCCACAGGCTGGCAGGGCTCCAGGCAGGCACTGGTGTGTGCCGGCTGTGGATCAGACAGCACTTTGTCCCGGCCAGGATGTGGTCTGCCTTTGTAACGAGGCCCATGCAAACGGGCGCCCATCGGCCCCTGCAGCCGGCTCTGGCAAACACCACTTGTCCCCTCGCTAGACATAAATGAACTGTAACTACCTCAAAGGAGAACAAACAACATAAGAAAAGAAGGGGAAACATCCAGATTTAACCAGATTAACGATAACGGCTCTCCCGAGGGAAGGCTCCCTGAAGAGGAGAATTCAGAGACTTATTAGCAGCCATTAACCACGTTTCTGGTTTGTGATGTGCCATGCAGTGAAAAGTACAAATCTGTGACTTCCCCTGCAGAAGAATTTAGGGAGGATTATTAGCTTCACAGAAGACAGATTAGTCACAGCATAAACTGCTGCCCTAAACATTTCATATTTGTTTTGCATCCCCAGCATCCTGCTAAAAATAAAAGGGACAGGAAAACCTATCTGTGCTGGGCTTAGAAGCAAATACACATCATACTTCGACCATCACCATTCCTCTGCTGCACTAAATACTTGTTATTCATCTTGAGCCCTTATTTTTGTCATTTTACTTAAGTCTGGAGCACATGGACTTCAGAAAAACTGGTTCTTATCAGAAACTGCTATCACGATGTTTGTATAAAGAGAAGGAGAACAATGAACAGCCAGGAACTCAGAGATTTTCCTCAAACTTTCTTACCTTAGTCCTGCCAGAATGCTGTTAATGCACGATCTTGGGAAGAAAGATCAACAGAATTTCCGCAGCGCCTCATTCTCAGGGATGCAGGACTCCATTTCTGAAAGCAGAGAGATTAGGGTGACTGAAATCTGAAGTACAGATACTGTGCTGGGAGAATGGGTGCTGACAGCAGGCTCTTAACTCATCAGCAGATGCAGGTCTTGTTGGCTGCACTTAAACTCAGTCACAGAAGCAAAAACCCCATGAAAGCAGCAAGAAACAAGGAGCAGCCAGACTGGCCTCTCTCATGATTAACAAGAAATAACCACCCCTATCCATTTACAGAACTCCACTGCTTTGACTAGAGAAAACAGTTTTCTGGGGACTATTGGACCCAGATATATCATGTTTGGATAGTGGTGCACTTGCACCAAATTAAAGCAAAGATGTGCCTAGGCAGGTGCAGCTGACACAGAAATAAAACTCCCCTCCAAACTCTGAGCTGTTCAGCAACTTAAATATCAGTACTCAAGTGTCAAAGACCACAGCTCCCCCTCCACTTTCCTCACAGGTCTCAGGCCCAGGACAAATTAGGCAGGTATTAAAAAGTAGAATAGTTAAGTATGTTGGACCCACCACATTTGCAGCATCCTCAGGGAAACAGATTCCTATTCCATCTGGACCTCATTGCAGAGGATGCTTGAGACCACTTCCACTAAGCCTCTTCACCAAACTTCAAATCAGCAAGGTGATACAACCATCTTTTATGTGCCAAGCAATAAAACAGAAATGAATACAATTTGGGCTATTCCAGAATAAAAAACCGGTTTCCAACTCTATTCTTACAGAATGCCATCAGTAAGAGCTCCCAACATTAAGCAGATAGCAGTTAGCAAAGCCTGTGCCAATAATTTAATCAAATTTGAACCTGTGGTCAGCTATTCCTTCTTTGGGAAAACTGAAGACCCTTCACCTTCCACAATTTTTTAAATGGAGATTCCTCAGCTGCCAGGCAGAGACAGGCTGTAAACTGCATCCAAATTACACTGAGCACATCCATCAACAGGTGCTTGGCACAAGGCAGCTCCCTGCTCCTGGTTTGGGAAAGCGCTTCTCCAACCAGAAACGGGGTCTAGAGCACAGCAATGAGAGGCCCTTCCTCCAGGTTGCTCAGTGCAGAAGGGGCTCAACAGTGCTTGCCTGGCTGCTCAGTCAATGATTTGGGGCCTCTTTATGTACTAAAACCTCTTTGCTTGCCCTGCTGGTGCAGCTGAGGGTCAAATCAGGAACGGATCCAGCAAAGGCAGACGTTATTCCAGGGCACTCTGAATTGGTGCACTGAGAGCTGTTGTGACAGAACATCTAGCCAAACCTCTTTTTCAATTTCACTCATATCAACACTGGGGTCATACAATATGCTAGAACAGCCTTCCAGAAAAAAATTATCTTTGGGATTTATAAATCTTACTTACACACAAATCACAAAGACTCCAGTTTGGCAATAACACTTGTCTGTGTTATTGCACAGTCTCCAGGTACTTCTTGCTTCTCATTCTTCTTCAAATGTTTTTGTCTCCCTGGAGCACCACCCCCTTCCCCAGCCCGTTCCACTCTGCTCCTAATGGAGATAGGGTTAAATTTACAAAGTGTTTTTATCCTAATTACAAACCTTTCAGCTAGTACCTTGGTCTCAGCCTCAGCAGGAAATGATATGCAAAATATACTTTCATGCATCTGACAGTCCCCAAAACTACCGGTCATATAAATTCTGCCAATTTACTCTAATTAAAGCTAAGCAGTGTCGTGTGTGCTTAAACGGTCAATCTGTCTTGAAGTAATTACACCTGAAAGCAGGAATACATCAGTTTCCTTCTCCTGGAATTAAACTCAGATGGGGCAGCTGAGAAACAGTCAGGGGACATTTGCTAATGATTAAATCCAAATCACATCGCCTTGCAGTGCTCTTAGCAAGTACAAGCTGCTGCATGGATGCTGATGGATTTGTGGAGGAAGGAAGCAGATGGTACAAGGCACTTGTCAACACAGAGCTGCCTACACAAGACTCTCTCTCACACCCAGTGCTGCAGAGGCTCGTGCTCTGAAGGGAGGCAAAATGAGACTCTGGGAGAATGTAAAATATATGCTGTGCTTGCAATCAGAAGAGCCAGCAGGCAGAGCTCCTGGTGTGCCAGAGAACTCCCACCTTCCATACTACCGTGTCAAAGATGTCTCTCATCTCTTGATGGTCTTTTCTAAAAGACCAAAGATGACTTTCTAGAAATAGCAACAATATTGACTCACTTAGGAAAAGATGAAGAGGCTGCATTGCTCCATCCAAATCCTCCTTCCTGCTCTTGTGTACAGAGCAAGGAGCACAGAAGGCAGAGAAGGAAAGACAAAAAAAGAAATCATTAACCACTAACCACACTTACACAACCATATTTTGCTGTGCCACTCAACAGCAGCACGTAACTCCAAATTCCCATAAGTCCTGACACAGTGCTCAAAGACTGTTAGTCAGAAGGATGCTTACTTTGGCCCCCTAGGAGCTGACAAATTCCGCTTTATCTCCCTGGGATCTGACGAGCCCATCCTGTCACACGGGAAGACGATTATGAATGACAATGCAATGAGTAACTTCTTAAACAGGCAAAGAAAAGTCAGACTTGAATATTCTGCTTAGATTCTCATCCTTTGCTGGTTCACTGATATGTGCTAAGTTTCCCAAAAGGAGAAGGACACATCACTAGAAGACAAGCAGGAACCAAGTTTACCCCCATATCAACATATAAAATCTTCTATAGATACATCACTGAAAGATTAACCTAAATCCATGTTCAGCCTCTGAAACCGTAGTTTGAAAGATGCAGTAAACTGTGAAAGGACAGGCCAAGGGCCTGTGCAGCTCTTTAAGCTATCTGTGATTTGTGCATCCTCAAAACAAACTAAAAAAGCAGGTTTTTGTCAAGTTTATACTTGTGCTCCTTTTACAAGAAGTGAAATTCTGTTGCCTCCCATTATCCCATTAATCATCTTCCTTATTTAAACACAAGCATGGTTTGATTCGGGTTAGATTAAAATATTCTGAAGGATACCTATTTAGGAGTCAGAATTCTTTATTCCTTAACTATGATACAATCCAGCCATACTCATCAGAACAGGCCAGTTCTTTCTATCCCTCTGAACTGGGACCTTTCCAAAATGCCAAAACCAGAACTCTTCTGGTGTACCTAAAATAATCTACTGGCACTTATCTAGAAATATTCTGGGTTTTCAAAATGCAAGCAGAAATCACTCTGTGACTGAATGTCATAGTTTGTGTTTTGTTAAAATATTCCAGAAGATTAACCTGCTAAAACACTTGGGGGAGGAGGGGGTGCCTTTAAAAGGTGCTTTGGCATTAAAAAGTGTGCAGTATCAGGCACAGAAGAGAAGGGAAAAGACAAAACCAAAGAACACAGTTTTCCATTATCAGAACAAGGCAAAGTGGGATCAGCTGCTTTTTGAAGATAATTTGTTGTTGTGAGAGACCTCACATAGTCCCCAAGGCTGCATTTCCCATTCCAGTCTCACCGTGGAGTATTGGTTGCAGCAGGACTGTTAATCACTGCTAATTGTGAGCGCTGGGGCAGGAACAACTGTCCCCAGTGAAGCCAGCTGAACCAGTAAGTTGATTTTAGCTTCCTTAAGGGCTTGGGATGTTAGTGATTTCAGGCCACTAACAGGAGTGGGTAGGTAAGTGCCTCTCCTAGCAGTGAAAGATGTTAGGACAGTAATCCTCTTTTCTTATTTTAGCCGAGCTAACAACAGAATAAATTAACTTTTACCATTAAATCTGAACCAAATAGCCTATATTCCAAGTGTAAGACTTCTCAGCCACAGCTGTCTTGCCCTTTAAAAAAAGGAAAGGAAGAAAAGCCAAGTAAATATTCTCTATGGAGACATTTAAGATTCCCTTCCTTCCCCCCAGCAGCAGTAATGTATGTATCTTCATCTTTTGGACTTTTTCCAAAGTGCTTAACTTTGGAATCTACATATTATGCTTGCCACAGCAAGTGTCTCTTTAGACTTAACGCTCCTCTCCCATACAGGTCTAAATTCTGTCACTCCTTTTCCCCAGAGTTTGCAGTAATGACTGGACAGCTTCTCTGCAGCAATTGTGGTCTGTCAGAAAAAACAAAGCAGAGGAAGTATGTATCATTTGGCTGTCTCCTTAATTTTAGTGTAACAATTCCATTTTTAGGTACAGAGAGTCCATAATAGAATGGGCATATCCGAGTTTAGCACACAAAGCTCTAAATAAGACTGCTGCTTTACAAAACCACAGCACAGAATGGCAATTGTTTCTAGCGTGGTAACCGCAGTGATTGAGAGATGCCCAAAGTAACTTGTTTTTTAAAGGGGAAACTTCAGTCTGTGGTGGCAAGCTCTGAAACCACCGATATAAATGGATTAGGCCGTGAGCACAGCAAACAATAGTCCCATTACTTTGGCTTAGGTCTGTTTTAAGAGAGCTAGAGAGTACTTAAAAAAAAAAAATCCCCTTGGTCTTTCCAATATCACTGGAGGGCTGGGCAGGGGCAGAGATGCTTTCTGCAAGCTCACACCAGGATGTGCTAATATTATCAAGCCTTTTGCTTTGTTGTCGTGCTATTCTTACTTAGCTTCTAATGCTCCACGAATGCATGACTGCTCTTTCCAGTCCACATAACAGCTATATTACTGGAGGTTCCAGCCTGTTGTTTTTCTTCGAAGCTAGGCTTCAGCCTTGGTTAATGTTTGCCCAGAAATATGTAATTGCAGACTTCCTCCTCATAAACCGTTCCAGAGCACAGGCTGCCATCCTTCCATGGTATTATTATCTGTGTGCCTGCAGGCTAGAGCAGGGTGTGCTCTCACATTTGAGAGCAGAGATAACCCTTTCCTTGCAGGAAAGGCACTCAATGCCTTGGATTGAGGCAGATGCTGCTAAAAAGAAGTGACCTGAAAGCTTTGCTGGTGTTATTTTCTGCCCTCAGATTATGGAATAAAAATACTTTTAGCACAGGCCTACTATGTCACAAATAAGTGTAAGGGAAGCTGAGTATAAAATCAGAATAATTGGAGTTGTAAGTGGCCTTAAAGATCATTTAGTTCCAACCCCTCTGCCAGGGGCAGGGGCACCTTCACTATCCCAGGTTGCTCCAAACCCCATCCAGCCTGGCCTTGGACAATGCCAAGGATGGGGCAGCCACAGCGTGGCCCAAACAGACAGTGGGACATTAATTCAGCATAAGCATTTTCTGGAGAAACAATCAGCAAACTGAACACATATTATCTTAATTTTGGGCACAGGTCTTCAGTGCCAGAAATGCAGTATCAGCAATGACAGCAAGGCCCCAGGCACTAGCAGAAGGTAGGTAATGTTCAGAATTTACAGTGGTAAACATGCCCATGTAAAGAAAGCTACTTTTGAGCTACTGAAACAGATTTAAGAATCTCTCCTCTCCTAAGAATTGCCCACATCTTCCATGGATACCATGAAGAATCCAGGTCACGGTCTTTGAACATTATGTTGAATGACCAAAAGGTTTGCAATGAAACAAACTCAAGAAACATGAGAAATTAAGCAGATGAAATCTCTCCAGATACTTTGTAGGCAACAGGTCTTCTAAGGTCTTGCCCAGATCCCTGCTGGAGATAGCCTGGCGTGCTTTCCGATCTCGACATTCCCTCTTTGCCCTCAAACCATCCAGATCTGGGACCTGTCAGAGTGTGTTAAAGCTCATATCCAGTCTATTCACCTGGATTGCCTTGTTTCAAGGGTAAAGTGGAAGCCAATGTGAGCCCAGGATCTCACCTTGATACAGATTCAGGGTATGTCTGGCACACACACCTAGTCCAGGAATTGGGAAGACCTCCAGGGTCAAGTAATCAGGCGTGGTTTAAGGGGTTCACTGTCCTTGAATACACAGATCACAGGAAACAGGGTGGGTCAGGCAGAACCTGCACACTAAACTAAACAAACCTGTGTCCAGCTCCTCTGCTCAGAAAGATTAGTAAATATCTTGAGTGCAGTGAACTAAAGCAGTACCTCAGGTGGAGGAGTAGTACAGTAAAAAACCTTCACTTCCTCCCAGATTTAAATTCTTTAACAAGAGCAACAGCTGCAAAAAATTAGCCATCACTTAAACCAAAAGGTATCTTTATTTCTGACAACTGCTGGGTTTGAAACACGATGTTTTTAGTAGCTTTCAGATGCCTCTTCTTCCTGAGCTCACTACAAACTGCAGGACAGTTCAGAGAAGGGCTGTGTTCCACATAAAAATGAGATACAGCAGAAAGATATTTTAAAACAGAACAGAAAAGTAGTGACAGCTTAGAGAACAGACTTATAGCTAGTAGGTTATTTTTGGAAGGAAAGGGCTCAGCAAGGCTCAGGATAACAAGCCAGAGCTCCAGACACATTGAGGACAGACTCTCACAGAGAAATTAGTGGAGGGCCAAGAGTTTACTCTCAAGCCAGTTGAGATTTGCCATGCAAGGGAAGTCACCTAGTCAGGCTGAAAGCACACATGAAATGGAAATTACCTTCTGAATTAATTGGGAGTAGCTTTCCATGACTGACAAACCCATTGTCAGTTCAGACTAACCCATGTGACAGTCATCCTCATGTTGTTACAGCCTGCCCCTATAAACAGGAGTACTTGGTTTAGCAAAATACTCAAAAAAGGCCAATAGGAGTTTGCTTCAGTAAGGAGCCACTCAAAACTGGAAGACAAGCTACGGGACTGGGCCCTGGCATTCACAATATTAAAAAGCAACTAGAGTGGGATCATTTTTGAGCATGAATTCCAACAAAGCCAGCTTGCTGATAGAAGGTTGTTCAGCTACCGAAGATTTGTCCTTGGATTCCTGTTGAAATCAATCCATAAAAATCATATTAAAGGATTAGGCATCAAGCATTTGTGTGTTGATGTGCATAAGAAATTCTTTGCTCACAGACTGCTGACCTTACATTCTTAAGAGGATCTTTTGCCCCATAATAAAGTGTTCACTGTCAACAGTAATTCTTGCGCTTCATGCATCTGTTGACAAAGCCTGAACAGGAAGCCTTTCTGCAGGTAAAAAGTTTAAATGCTGTGCTTCCACAGGACCTTTGTCCAAGGCATGAGGGAGGATTTGGACATTTCGGCAAACAGCAAGGTACCGGTCGTGATATTTATGCCACAAGTGAACTGTGCAACAAAGAGATGCCACGCTTTTACTTCAGAAGCTTGGTAATTTGGGAATTAAACAGCTCTTCTTGCATATCTATCCTTCTGTTATTATCTGTATTCCTTTAGGCACAGACACTTCTAGTACAATTATGCAGAATAACTCATGAGCACACAAGAGTGGTTATATTATGTCAACAATCCTTGCTTGTTGAATTAATAAATTTAACCTGCACTTGTTTTTATAAAAATGCACCATTTCAGGTGTCTGCAACACTGATTTCACAAAGCACTGAAATCATCCCTTTGCATAAACCATGCACAACACAGAAGGACCAAAATGACATGTCCAACATAAGCCACCTGTGTTAGCAGGGAGCTCCAAGCAAAGAGATTTAATAGAGACCCAGAAAAAAACACGTTCTACAATTGGCTGACCAATTCCCAACCACGTAAATCCAGGGAAGAACTGGGCACAAAGCTGGCCCACAACTGCCTTGTAGGCTGCAGCTACTTGGCCAGAGGAGGAACAAATCAAATTCTCTCACTGCAGACAGGACTGCACTTTCTGCCTTCTTTCTCTCCAATCATGCAGGAGTATTGGTGGCTTGGCAGGGTTGAAATCCCTGCAGAAACATGTGGGGCAGACAAGGTCTGCTGTGGTCCCTCGCTCTCCTACTCTTCCATGGGGACAAGGTATGTGATGTATTTAATCTTCCCTGTCCCTTCTGTCTGCTTAAAAAATAAATGTCTACTCTGATTTCTTACTGCTGGCACCTCCAGATGTTTCTTTGCTCAGGAAAGTTGCACCAGTTCACGCTAAAGCTCTCTGCAGATGCGCATCATTTTGCATGTCAAAGATTTGCTTTCTGCCAGCGATTAAACTAAATGCACTCAGCTACAGAAGTTACATCCATTGAATTGGAACTGGTGTTAGGAAAGGCAAACTTAACACAACTTGCCAGCTAGAAATTCTATCTCCAGACCTCTGCAGATAATTTCCTAGCCAGCCCCTTGTGAAAAAGTCCTGCTCGATGGTAATTGAATTTACTGCAAGAAGATGGAAACAACAAATACAGGAAAATAACAGAGCTTCATATCTTTGGGTAAAATGGAGTGCTTGTGGCTTCCCCAGCTCCACAGCTTGCTCTGTTATACCTCATCTATCAGTCCCAAAAGCATCTTTTACTTTTCACAGAATAGTTTACATTGGAAAGGACTCCTGGGAGGTCATCTAATCCAACTCCCAGCTCTGAGAAGGTCCAGTTAGATCAAGTTGCTCAGGGACTTGTCCAGGAAATAAGAAATTCAGTATTAAAGCAGTGGGAAAACCATGAAACATTTCAAGGAAATCACATAGAAAAGTAATTAAAGTTAACATATGGAGCCTAAAGAGAGAGGCCCCTAGTTTGACTCCAGTTCCTAGATCCCACTCCTACCTTAGACCACAGGTGCTGAAACCAGGAGTTTCTGTTCTACATATATGGAGTTCAGAGATCGAGAAAAGACAACAATCACAACCAACCCTGCATGGCACAGCGTGATTTCACTAACAACTGCTTTTGCATTTTGGGAAATGCATTTTTAGGACAGCTGTCCTATAAGCAGAGAGATCAGGTCCTAGTCTGATGCAAACCAATGCTTACCAGCTGACACCAACTGGGAAACTGCCTTACTATTTGATTCTGTCAAGAAAATTCTCTGTAAGAAAATCTTGCATCTTCTGCTGAAATGCAAGAGACAAGCAGATTCTACCAGACACCCCCTGGTTCATACTGAATCACTGCTAGCACATACATTGGAGTCTTACTGAAAAACAAAGGACAGAATGCAGGGTAACAAGCGATCAGTCACGTCTGACACGCACACTGTTTCCACAGAATTACTCATCTCTGTGAGGTCTGATAGATGTTAAAGGATTTTTCCTAATTCACACACAGATGCCTCGTAAATAAATGGCAACTATTCATATGACTAAATAGTTACTTCGTAGGTATTTTGACAGAAAGAGCTCATGGAGTTTCCAATAATGCCATCCTCAAAATATAAACTGCGCACTTCCCCTCCTTTCACTTGTTTTTCAGGAAATCATATTTTCAGACTTCCTGTGGCTGCCACAGCCTGGGTAGGTCAGGCTGTGCTGTATCACATCCCACAGCATGTGGCAGAGTGTGAGCTTCCCACGGTGATGCTCCACAATGCAGCAGGTGAGAGTCAGACTGGGAAATGCAGAGCAGCTTTGATTTGTTTCAGTTTTTTCACTGCTGGCATGACATACAGTTAAACAAACTGCCTGCCAAGGGAAATAGGAAAGGGATGCTCTGAGCTTAACTGTGTGGTTAGCACATTACATCTTTCTAGGAGTTAACCTACAAAGTTAAATCCAAATGATGCATTTGGGTATCCCTCGCTGGTAGCACCATCTGCTTTCACACCCCGACCTAGCTAATCCTAATCCTACAGGGCTCTAGATTTTCATCAGCAGATAAATTCAGAATTTGATTCCTAGGACACTGCTTTTCTCAGCTCCTTTTTTAAAATTTATTTGGCGGGATTTTCAGGCTAACTTTTCTTCTGCCTACTGCACTTGCAAGCCTTACTCCAAGAAAACACACTGGCTGTGATCACAGGATAAGATCTAGCCTGAGAAATCTTTCAAAAAGACTTCTTGGCAGCAGGTAGGGAAAGCCGGCATCCCCAGCATAGCCAACAGCTGTTTTCCTACAGTTTCCATATCCCTGAAGACTGGTGATAGGGGAAGAAAAGTGCATACAGCAGGACAAGAGAAGAAAGATGAGGTGAGAAATTAATATTCCAAATGTTCACTGCAGCAAGGAGCTGGTGTCCCCCTCCAGACAGCTCAGTGTCCTAGACACCAGATCACTGTATTATCTCTTTAGCTTCCCTAATGCTTCACTATGCACAGTACAACAATCTCCAAAAGAACAAACTATAAGCCAACACCGCCCCATATTTCTGACTCTGTAAGCAACTCTGCAGTCTGATCTGTTCATCCTCCCTTAACAGCCAAGGCCTCTCCATTACCATGCAAATGCAACTCTAACCAGTCCTTTTATTGCAAATAATTTTAGCAGAACCATACAGCTAATAGATTGATTCCATTATTAGTGACATCTTGGGACTGTGAACTAATCAATATCCCAGCGTGCTGAGGAGGGGAGACAGAAAATCTAATCAAGACCCTACAGAACTTATACCTCGAATCCTAATTTACAATTAAAAGCTTTGAGAATAATAATTTACAATCAAAAGCTTTGATTCCTGATGGCCATTTTTCTACCTTTCAAGCAACAATATATCACATTATACACATAATGAAATTATGATTTTACTGCTCTACAGATCTCTACATTCATCAGCACCATTTTCTCCCTACAAGGATAAACAAATGAGAAAGGCAATTCAGAATCCTTTCGCACCTATACTTTGATGTCCAAACCTCTGCATGTTAGACAATACAGGGGGTTGTGACAAAGGGATTACAGCCAGATATCCCTAAACTACCTTCCATTTATCTGCATATCCCATTCCTATTAATTACTCTACTGTAAAAGTCAGCATGCCCAAGGTCAGTGCTGTTCCAATACTCAGATCTGGCACCTGGAACGGATGCTCTCCACCTGGTCTTTAATTGCCCTCCCAACTGGCTAGTGACACTACTTATGTGGACCTTGTCTTCCAACACACTGGGAGAGTTGTTCCACTTCTTTCTGTAGCCCTGTATTTGCCAAAAAGGCACCCATGCGAGTGGAAGCTGCTGCTACACCCATGCACTGCACAGCTCTGAATCAGGCTACACGCAGCGCTCTGCATTTTTCACCCACATGCATGCTGTGGAACAAATAATCTGCTCCTCCACTTAGGAATCCTTTGGTGCAACACACAAAAAAATGGCATTCCTTGTGAAGTCTAGAGCAGAAAGAGCAAAAGCAGTGCAAGGAAAACTGAGCTTTCCATCAGTTCATGCAGCTATCTGCTGCACAAAGCCAGAACAGCCGGCTGGAGCTGGAGAGACACTCAAGTGTGGCACACACAGCAATCCTCCTTCCAGCCCAGTTCAGTCCTGCTCCCTTCTACCCAGCTGGGCTCGTGGATCCCTGCAAAGGGAAAAACTCAGGCTGGACTTGCACAGCAAGAGAAGAAAGGTAAGTGATCTCCTCTTTCCCTTTCTCTCCCATTCTCCACATATTTCTCCCAAATATATATTCCAAGCTGGGATATAATACAGCAGAGTTTTGTTTAAACCTTCCCAACACCATGACTGTGATTTAGGCAGCAAGAGGATTAAGCCTACATGCCTTAGGAGGAGGCAGGACAAATTCTTGCTCAGCCACATGATTTATTTGAACGGTAGCAGACCTGGAAAAAATTTTAAAAGGTAACATGGGCAGACATTGTACACAAAGGCACTTCAAAAAACTAATAATGCAATATTAAACAAATATGGGAAAGGGCATATTTGCCTTCTTATAAGGATTCTATCCTGTATATCTCTGTACCCGCATCTCACTGGCCTCAAACTGATCACCACTGGCACAACCATGGGCATTACCGTTTGCCATGCAGGATGTGCTTCAAAATGCCAGAATTAGCTCCAAACACTGCAGCTCCATTTCTTCCAGCACATGAAATATTAGCAGTCAAGCTACTCTTAGCACTGAATAAAATGCATAAGGCACTTGGCTTTTGTTAACAATGCTTATTTTGGATGTGCAACTCAAGCAGTGGTTTAGATCTAAATTCACAGTAATCCTCAGTACAAAACTAGACTTAAAAAAAAGTTACTGAAGTCCAGATGCTAAAATAAAGCCTTAAGGAACAGCCCTGATTAGCTGGTGGGGTGTAAGTGCTCTACCCTTGGAATAGCTTGGCAAGGAATTGTCGGAATTCCTCCCTCCTCTTTCCGGGGGGGAGCGGATGCAGTAACAGCTCCCAGGGGAACGACACTCCCTTCCTTTCGCCTGGGCTCCCTGCGGGGAATGGGTCTGGATTTGTTAGGCAGGACTGCGAGGAGAAGGGGGGGGATGTAATCCTCACTCCTCACCGGATATGGACACAATCCGAGCTCAAGTTATTGACTTGTAACCTCACCACAAAAGGAACCATTTGGATTTTTGCTGCACTGCAAGGCTTGTGCAAAGGGCTGTTACTGAATTGTCAGGGCTTGCAGTGCCCCATGAGGCCAAGATCTGAGAGCAGTCTCAAACGCATGCCCACTTTCCACTACAAAATCACTTTTTAAGGGCAAAACCCATGTATGCAAATAACCCAAAGGGACGGTGAAAAACCCCAGAAAACTACCCATTTATGGATTGTGGGATTTTGGAGGGGAGCAATATTTTTTTGTTGAATGCTTTAGGAATTTCTCCCCTCATTCCCCAGCATGACACAAACCTTCATCACCCCACCACGGCCGGTATAATCTCCTTTTGGCACTCACTGTTTCAGGTCCTGGAGCCTGAAGTATGGCTCAGCCAAAGCCTTGGCATCACAGCTGTGACTTCAGAAGGGAGATGATGGACTCAAGGCAGGTAGCAAGGAGCACTTGCACACCTTTATCTTGTTCTGACACCACACAGACAAAGCCTGACAGCACCGGACTTCCCAGGCTAATCACTGCAACCTTTGGCTCAAGTCCACAGGCATTTTGCTCATCCAAGCACCAGGTTACTCATTAGCGCCCCTTGATTACAGCGCTGCATTCACCCCCACACCATCTCACAGAGCACGCAGAAAAACCAGGAAAGATTAAGGGAAAAGGCACCGTGGAAAGTAACAAGTAAAGGACAAATTCCGGACAAGAAGAAACTAAATAAATTAGAACATGCCAGCTGGCTAAGAGGGGACAGAATCAACATCTGAAAAATAATGAAATGGAATGATGTGGTAAAAAGGGGAATTATTTACTGTATGCAATAAAGGAAGTCGGGAAGCCTGTTTTAAACTGGCAGCAATTTAGAAACAAAAGGAAATGCTTTTTCATAAAACAATTACAGTGTGGAACTCAGTGCCCACAGGGGCTGGTCGAGGCAGAGCAGCACACAGGTTCAAATGGAGATCAGAGGAATGAACAATGAATACATCCAGGAGAGGCTACCAAGCACGTCAGCCTCAGGAGCTGCTACACCACTCTTTGTTAGAAGCTGACAAGATAGAGCAGGGGAAGATAATTCCAAATACACATCTATTTTCTGACGCCCTTTTCCCATCCCACTCTCACCGGCCTCTGCTGGAGGCAGGATACTTACAATAATCTTTGATCTGATCTAGTGTGACAGCTGCTGTGTTCTCATAAATTTCACTGAGCTTCACAGATCATTGAATCATTTTCCATGTTTATTGTTACAGTGAACAACAGGACACGTTCCTTCCTTCACGACTTCGTGTTTTGCACAGATGATCTCAAAGGACAAACCCAACTCCCTCGGTAAAATTCAAATTCAAGCAAATATTATGGAAACCAAACACAGTCTCTAGAATATTATTCTGGTTTCACATATCAACAATGAAGACACAAGGGACTACATAGAAAACTTCCTGTGGGATCTAGTGAGCCCTGCATCTTCCTCAACAGAGTTAGACTGCATTTTCAGTGTAGTAACCCTTTATGGTTACTTACTGTAACATCTCTGGTGCTTCTCGTGCCCAAGAAACCACTGAGCAACAAAGTTCACAGCAATCCTCCAGGTTTACGAGGAGTTGTTTCATTTGGACACAGCATGCTCCCTTTGTTTACCTGCTGTTTGGTCTCATGATGCAACCCAACATTCTCTAATCAGTTCAGAGCGCTTGTAACACAGCCAGAGGCTTTGTCACCCACAGGAAACTGCGGGCTTAACAAACTTATGCAGCCAGACATCATCGGTGAGTTATTCTTGTACAAAATTAATAAAAAATTAATTAATAAAACAAAACCCCTAACACATGGACCAGGTTGCAGCCTTCTCCTTTCCACATCTTTCTTGCTAAAACTCCACAGAGAGGGAGGCCAGGGCCCTGCAGCTGGTTATGGAAAGGGCTGAGCATCCGGCAAGGGAGCACAGCTGCCGGCCACATGACACACGCCCGGTACCAGAGACACACGGAGCTCGCTCGTGGGCAAATCCACTCCCACCACAGAGCATCCTGGGATTATTTGCCACTTTGTGCTTTCTCCCACTGCCCCCCCAGAGGATTTGGGACTAAACATGAGAAAAAAAAGGCACTAATCATGAATAATGCAGTTCCAGTTGCAGTGCTTGAAATGTTCAGCTCAAAAATGTGTGCTCGCTGTTTCCTTCTACTTGCTGCTTAGGCAGGCCTGTGGATGTCACTGCATGGACACACCTGGAGTGGATGTGATCAGCACAGGTATAAAGATCAGAATTAACTCCAAATTCCTCTGCTTTCAAGGAACTGTTTAGTTTAATGATTAAAACCTCATGAGTGCCTGGATTTTGTGAACACCTGTCAGTGTTCTTTGGAAGAAAAGGTATTTGCTTGCTTATTTATTTGAAAACTGAAGCTATATACTAGTCAAAGGAATTTTATTTGGTTTTTAAAACAGAATTGAGATGGCAGTTTCACCTGAGAAGTGAAGCTTCAGTGCAAAGCCAGCACACAAAGTTTCAACACCCAGCTTTTGTTCCTGTGAGCACTGACTTTGCTGCAGGGGGGCAGTTAGAACTGAGCTCTGCACCTTTAAATTTCTTACCCCTCTGCTTTTGTGGGTAGCTCTATTAGGACCCCCATACCTTTGCAGACTTAGGAAGCCTGCACACTTAAGCTGTAGAAAAAAAGAGAATTGGGATTTTAAGCATTGGAGCCTGCCCTCCCAACCTCATCTCTTCCCTTACACAGCCCGTCTGCATTACCTTTTGCACAAATGTGGATTATTCAGTAATTAAAATAGCATTCCCCAAAAGCTCATCAATGGTCACATCCTTCCTACCTAAAGCTCATTTGGACTCTGGATCTAATTTTCAAAAAAGTCAAGAGCTGTTTTCAAATGGGCAAGAAAAGTCCATTTCCTCAGCTCTCTCCAACATTTGCATCCCTGCTTGGAAAATAAATAATTAAGTTGTGACATGGCAAAGAACAAGCCAGGAAAACATCAGCCCAAAAGAGGCAAGTTTTGGAGAGCTGCAAACAAAGGATTACAATGGGAATGCTTATATAATCTTAATTACAGAGGATGCTTCTTCCATAACCACAATGGCATACACATGGCCTACAACTGCACATGCTGGAGAGAACAGTAGTTATTCCACTGGCTTCTCCCTGTGCTTACCACAGTTAACAGGGCAAAGGAAATTCATTTCCATGCCCTTCCCCCAAAATGGAAAGGTTAACCATAATTCTGTGGTGAGATGAAAGCGTTATCACCACTCCAGAAGGATATCAATCTAAATAACCCTCACACTCAGTAAATCAATAGGATTCTTCTGGTTGCATCAGACCAGCCACACAGTGTTTGCATAGGGAAACAATCAATATGAATGTCATCCAAATACGGAACTGACAACAGCAGGGAATGTGAGCAAAGGGAGGAGATGGGGGGAGGGAAAGGGGCTGAGCAAGAGGAGAAAAGAAAAGCATCGAAGGTGTCGGAGTCAGGAAAACCCTTCCGAGTTTTAGTGCCTCAGCAACCTCCATTCATATCTTGAGAAATGTCAGAAATCAGGAAATATTACTTCGGGTTGCATGCTTCTGTCCTGGCCTATCAAATGCACGGAGTAGTAACAGCAAATTACTGGAAACTGCACTTTGAACTTAGCCACTGGCAAGGATCCCAGTCAAACAGAAATGTAAAAGTTCCTTTCCTCCATGGGGCCTCCTGTGTGGGGGTGTCCCCATAGACGTTCAATAGCTGGTTGCAACAGGTTGGAATGAGGCCCCGAGCCAGAAAAACAAGCCCTGACCAGTATTATTTCCTACTGCCTCGGTTGTTTATTAAAAGATATTTTGACGCATCACTCTCAGCTTTGTTGGGCTGCACTGGAGGCTCGAGGCCCATCGAGGAAAAACTGGCACCATTCTCACTAAGTGCTCACGCCTCCTTTTCTTCCAGCATTCCTCCTCCTGCCTCCCCGTGTGCACGGCTATAGGTGCAGCACAAAGATACACTTAAAGGAGAATTGGAAACAGGCAGACTGGTTGCTAAGCAAAGGCTCTGTATATCCTACAAATAGAGAAGTAATTAGATTCTAAACCCTATCAATATTCCTAGCATAGACAGAAGAAACAACATTTTTCTGCACACCAGACTTTTATAACACGGTTTGAAAAGAAAAAAAAAAAATCCAACCACAGAGTGTTCAGGAACAGTAACTTAATGTTATTAACAACCCAGGGAGTGCCCAGTGAGTGCAGAAAGGCATTGTAGCCTTCCCCCTTCCAGAGGTGAAATGATCAAAAGACTGGCCTCTTTACAGTCTGTTATATTTCTGTCTAAGAAAACCCAATTTGCACAAGCAAATAAACTAGCTCATTATAAAACTGAGGGGTCAGCCTGAGTCAGATAAACTCTGAAGTCAGACAGCTGAAGAAACAAACTTTTATTTAAGCCACAGCACAGGTGATCCTAAGAGGAAACAGTAAATCCCCATAGAGCCACAACTTCCACATTGGGCAACAGAGAGCACGAGGAATGGAGGTGCAGGAGTGAAGTTTTTTTCTAAGGCCACACGGCTCAGCACACATTTAATCAGAAACAACAGATCCCAGCCTTGCATTCAAAGGGGGGGAAAGCAAATAGAAAAATCAAACACTGTCGTCACAATGCAGCGAGTCAAACATTATTGAAATCATAAGGACTAATCAGTTTCTTGCCTTTTCTTTTTGTTTTTAAGAGACCAAATTTTTTTCTTATTCTTTCCCCTCCAGGGAAGAAAAAACAAACAAACCCCCACCCCCTCCCCCCCCCCCAAAAAATCCCCACCAAGCCAGTTCTTCTTTTGGAGATTGCCTAGTTACCAATACACCATCAAGCACAGATTCCATTTTTCCCTTCCTGATGAAAGGAATTAAGCCTGACTGCATCAGGACTAGTCAAGAGGAATGATATTTATTTTTTTTAAAAAGAAAAAAAAAAAGCAAAAAAAAAAAAAAAAGCAGAATGCCTTACCAGGCATCTTGGATTTTTTTTCCTAGGTAAGTTTAAACATAACCTTCCTGGCAGAAAATCAATAACATTTTGTCTGTTTTATAAGCATGATAGGCATTTCATTTTCAAAAAGAAACAAAATTTTATAAGAAAATAATACACTGAACCTCACAGGTGTTTCTAAGAGATTCCAGATCAATAAATCCTGATTCCAATGAGACTTGCAAAGACACATATCCATACCTTAGGGAAATAAAGAGTGTTAATGACAGCTTCAGCCTGTTATTGTACGTCCTGAGGACATACAGTTCTGTTCATGCTGTACACCAGGCCACTTTCTTGTTTCCTTCTTGGTTCTCCCCCCCCCACCAAGTGGAGTTACAATGCAGGTTGCTAAGAGAGATTTATCCCACTGCACTTTCTTCTGTGGAAACTTAATAATCATTGTTTAACTTAAATTTGCCACAGCTTCCGTGGGAGAAAGTACTTTACTGGGTATTACCACGTAGTCTAATTTTGGTCTAAAAATACATCTCTTTCTTCTGCACTTGCAAACTCAACACATGGAAAAAATGTAACATTTGAACTACCACAGGTGTTTCTGTAGGAAAAAAAATTTAGGTACCCTAAATGTTATTATTCCACGATACCTGCTCCAAGAAACAATGTCACGTATCAAAATAAAGGTAAATATTTTGTAATGCCTGTACAATAGAGAACAGACACATTTAGACATTTCATAAATAAACAGACAGAAGGATAAATAAACAAATACTTGAGGCATTTGCTGGTGTTCATGAATGCAAGAGACATGCCACAGCTGGCAGGAACATGCCTTGTCTTAGGTGTTAACCATGTTTTCCCAATTTTCTGCATCCACTTGCTTCAGTGGAGCAGGATTTTGTAACTCTGTAATCCAGAATCTTTGTACAGAATGCCAATATGACAAGCAATAGGCTTTTAATTTCCCCAAATGCCTTCTCATGCCTAAAGCCTTGCCAGTAATTTTCACATTACACACCAGCAAATTGTATTTCATGCTGTATTCTGCAGAAGGGCTCCAAGTAGTTAATGCCAGTTGGAGGTGTGCTTGGTTTTAAAGCATACTAGTGGTCTGTGCTAAATGATGTGGATTTATTGACAATAAACAGAAAGCAAAAGCCGAACTCTGAGCTATTCTGACAGCACTGAATGATGCATCCATGAATTAGACCCTGTGCTGCAGGTGAGCAGGCAAAGTAGAAGGAGCAGACAGGAATTCAGCGAAGCACAGTTTTACTAAAAGAACTTTTGAAGTGTTACCCACCTCCTGCACTGCTTGGACTTTGTGAATCACTAAATTTATCCTGGAGAGCAACATTAGATGTCACCACAAATTCCACTGCTGAGCTCTTTGCAACACACAGTACCTGAGAAGTCACAGCTGACACGTTGTCACACGAGAATACCCACTGAAATCAGGAGCAAGAACTGTTCTAGAGAAAGAAAGAAGAAACAGATTACCACAAAAATAACACAGGGTTTCACTATCTGAAATTGTGTTACTAAACATTTTTCATTATTAATAATTCCATGGGACTGATTTAGCACTTTCATCATGGGGATTTTGTACCGCATGCATCATGAAAGGACATACTGGTTTTGTGGGTTTTTCCTCACCTTTCCCCCTTCAAGAAAACCCAAAAGCTCATACTGAGATCAAATGCACAGAGCAGTGTGGGGTGAGCAATATTAAGTCAAGTGCTTGACAGAAGTTGCTCTGTCATGATCATGTTTTATTCTCCCTGTTGCCAGGCTCAGACTTAAGAGGACTCATTGGTTAATCCCACCTAAGCTTTCTCTTTTTTAAATTTATAGCTCTGTTTTTTTCTAATGTTATATTTTAGAAGATTTACCAGATTAATGTTCCCTGTCCACTACAACATTTTGGTTCCTACCATCAAAATTAGGTCTGACTCCATGCAAAAACATTCCTGTTGGAATGGGTAATTTTTCTTTCTTTTTTTTCTTTCTGTTTAAGCACTAGGTATATATCTCACTTGTTCCCTAATTTCCTGGGTATGATATATATTTCCTCACTGAAGTCACATGATGACACAGGCCTACATTACAGCTTTGCTCTATCCTGTCAGAGGCATCAAGTTACCAGGAATGTCAATGGACTTCTAAGGAGAAATGGGTTAGGGGAGAAAGACAAATATATTTAGTAAGATTTTTCCAGAGAACACATGTTGCCCTGAAGCAAGAACCTTAGTATGCAGTTGATTGTGTCTGTATAGAAAATAAAAGAAAAAAACAAAGGGAGAATTATTTTTGTCTGAAAATTTCCATTCCTTGAACACAATCTAGAGCAGTAGAGTTGAAAATCTCCCCAAAGCAAACATGGTAGAGCCATGCTGGAAAACTACGTGTTAGCAGCAAGGAGCATGCCACACAACTTTCCAATTATTTTACTTTTCATGCAAGGGCAAGGGACCAAATTCTGTTCTTAGTGGCACACTGCAAAGCAGATAATGGGCCCCTGAGCTGGCTAGGGCTAATCTCAGATCTGAAGGGGAACAGGAGAGGCTGATTCCCTTCCAGAAGAAAACATTCACTTCTCCAGCAGCTGAGCAGGCCCTGCATGCTATGCAGCATGCCAACAGGAATGGAAGGAGAATACAGTCAAAAGGAAAAACAACTGAGGAGGCAGGGTGGGGATGGAGAATGTATAAAAATCACAGCTGATACCATTTCTCCCATACACTAATACCTTGAGGAGTTCAAAGGTTTTCCATGCCTATGGCATTTGGCAATTATAATCGCACAGTAAAATACCTAAGGTTAATGAGTAACCTCTAAAGGAAGTTACTTCACATAATGACAGCAATTTCTCTGAACTAAATGTTAATAATCAGGCCTGTAATACGGTGAGAAGGAAATAGTGGGCAATTGGCAAATGGAACTCAGTTACCTAGTAACAAGTCCTTGAGGTATGAGCCGAAAAAATTTGAGCAGGCAAAACATTTCCAGGCAGGCAGAGCAGCTTGACAAACACAAAACATTTTGCAAATCCGGCAACTGTCCATGACATGGAAAGTGGAAGCAGATGCGGCAAATTACCTCGTTAACAGGCGGTCTGAGGGACAATTAGCTAATGGCACCGCAAAGGGAACGCTGTCACGTAACCAGCAGCAAGGGCAGGGCAGCCCAGTTCAGGTTACCCTGAAGACAAATGGGAATGCTGCTCCTTACACCGGCAGCGTTCACCCGCAGCTCTGCCGGGGCCTTTCCCTGCCCACCGGGAGATAAGGGCAGCGCTGCCGTAATTGCAGGCACGGTGCTGACTCAGCAGATCCAGCCCCGGTACCGCGCTGCAGACGCCGCTGCACGGAGCGTTTCGACACCTTGGCTATGAATGGGGCGATGCCTGCTCTGCTCCCAGGCAGGGTTGCTTGCAGTTTGCCACGAGGAAGAGCATCAGAGTGATTGCCTCACTCAAACACACCAAACAGGATTTCCTAAATGTTCCCTTACAGCAACAAATGCACTGTCAAAATCATCTGAACAAGTCCATCTCCTTTCAGGCACAGTGCAGGAAACCACGTACCTACCTCGCTCTCCATCTCGTAAAATCCTTTTGACAGGTACAGGAACCACTCAGAAAAAAAAAAAAAAAAAAAAAAAAAAAAAAAAAAAAAAAAAAAAAAAGTTTTGTCAGGCTCCTTTGTGCATTTTTTTTGCCACAAGCAATGGTGTGTTTTATCTGTAAAGCTGGACAAACCAGCTCTTCACAGAACATTGGTCAATCCCATGTAAGCCACGACTGAAAAGCATTTCCTACAGCAGCCATACCCTCCCAAAGCCAGCCCGGCCCCTACCATGCTCAAAAGTGTGTCCAGAGCCATGCAAAGGCTTGGATTTGTGCACTCCATCATGACTCCTCAGCAATATCACCAATTGAAGCACCACAAAGGACATGAGTGATGCCTCATTCCATCCTACCTCATCACACACACAACTTTTAATTCCTGGCTGAAGCTGTTCATCTACAAATAATGAATGTGGCTAGTGTGTGTCCTGTTCCTGACTTTTTCGCCTTATCTTAAAAACAAAAAAGGAATGTTGGGTTTTAGATGTGATGTTAATGCAAAAGTAAGTTTGATTTCTAAAATGCACAAAGCCCAGGAAAGTCACATTTAAGCTCTGTTCTAAGCCATGAGCAAAAGCAGCATTTTCATTCCACGACTATGATTCTGGACAATGCAAGACACTTCCACTATTTGCATAAATTCAGATCCAAACTAATCTCTGCAGGAGATGACTCCAGAAAAAGAAGCCTCAGTAAAGCAAACACACCAGCTGAGGGGCTGCAGAAAGATGGGACCACTCTTGCTTTGGTGATACACCATAAAACAAAGCATGCCCTGGCTCCCCTCAATTTCATTTCTCTCCTTGCAGAATTCCTGGAAAAAGGCAGATCATATCCTGTAGCCTAAAGACAGCAATAAGGCAGAGCTCAATATTTAAACAATCCTGATACTGAAAACCTGGGGTTGATGGGAATGCCAAGTGCCTTGGTAAGAACATTTCTCAGGAGAAAACAGCTGGTTGGCTTTCAGGCGCTGTGCTTGCCACACATGCCCTTAATCAATTTGGTCTAATTTCCCTAGCTTGAAGCACTTAAATCAGCTATGTGGCCTCCTCATCATAGTTGGACTCAGAAGAGAGCGTAGACAGAAGTGACTGAAGAAAACCATTCCAGCAAGAGTCACATGGAAGCCTTTTAAAACTATCAGATCTTACTATAGACATACAAAAAAAATAAAAGATCAAATTTGGCAGAACTCTGTGTTCTAACTAGTTTCCACTATCAGACAGAAAATACATGTGCTCATTTAGACAGCAAAGCATGTCCCTAAGTCCTGAAGAACAGACACAGCTGCAAGGATTGCTAAAAACCATGGGCCAAGTCTGATGGTAGTGCTGCAATGTTGCTCCTAACACTTGAGCAGGTTCACTTTGTGACTTTATCCTGTGTCAACAAGCCCAACTTTATCCTGTGTCAACACATATGGGCAGGATGTTATTTGGTGAACAAAAGCCACCAGTGACCAACAGCACACAGGTAAAGCACTGGCTATAAACCCAGGGGTTGATACAGAAATAATGAGAGATTTGGCATTTGCCATTGCTCAGATATCTGACTCCAGGAACAGGGGAGCTGACTGCTCTCCAGGAACAGCCAAGCACTCACTGGGGGCCCCTTCACAGCACCCAAAAGCAGCAGCAATCAGAGCCACCAAGCACATTCTAGCCTGTCCTGACAGAAGCCAATATACAGCATGGCACATTCTGCATGAGCACCTTCAAGGAAGGCAAGAGGATAGCCAAGAATTAGGAAGCCCCACATGGCCCATGAGAAAGAAGTGTGCTCCACTTGCCAGGGCTACACTGAGGCCTCTGGCAGCGGGGCCACAGGGCAATCGGAGCCCGTGCCTGTGCAAGGCAGCGCCACCAGGTCATCCTGGGACACGGCCACATCCACGGCTTTGTTCCTTTCCATGATGGCCTGAGCCACGAAGCTCCTGTGGAGCTGCTGGCAGCACCACCTGCAAGTCATTCCTGGGACAAGTGCTCTGAGGTGCGAGGTTTGTAGCCCAAGGCATCTGGCAACATCTGGGCTGCCCCTCACCCAGGGCTTCACCGGGGCAGGCTGGAGCAGCTGGGGGCCCTGGCTGCAGACAGTGTCTCTTTGCACTGCCGACCTCATGAGATGCACAGCCACTTGGAAAAGATAAATGAGGTCACTGATTTTTATTTATTTATTTTCACAACAACCAAAGGCTGCTGCTAAACACCTTTCCTCTCTCGTACGTGCCATAATAAGGCTTCACCCCGGAGGCTGGCAATAAAGATGTTTGAAACAAACTCAGCACTGGACTCATAATCTGCACCTCGGCCTGTTCCTCCTGCCTTTGCATCCACCACTTGTACAGCAGAAGAACTCTTATCACCAACCAATCTCAAGTGACTCATTCTGCACTTGTGCTAGGGAGATCAGAAAGAAGCCTCGTGACTTATAATCCATAGTTAAAACTCCAAGAGCATAAAGACAAGTTATCTGGCAAAATGAAAGTTAAATAAATACAGGTGCCTTGTGGTTGCTACTTGCTGATCTGGCAGCAGTTGTTAGTCATTTCATCAGAAGGCCCATCTGCGAGGATCTAAGAGTCAAAAGCTTTGATTGCCTGCCCTTTATGTTGTCTGGCTCCTCTTCACTCATTCTCGAGAGCCAATGAAGGCTTGGAGTAGTAACAGAAACCTATCCAAGCCATGCTGTTCTGCAGATGTTAAAAAGATAAATGCACAAACTGTGAAGGAGCGCACACAATACATGGCAAACGTTTTGATTAACTGCTCTAACTGGAAGTCACAGACTCCAGGCTCTCCCAGCGTGTGTTTTGGCTTTTGAGAAAGGAAGTCCGTA